TCTCTAAATATGATATAGAAGGTGTCCAAGACCTTAGACCACTCAAAAACCTCACCATTCAAAAAGTCAACTTCCATACCAAGTTACTTTGACCAAAGCCACAAAATCTGCCAAATCTTGTTCTATACACTTCCTTGGTGTTTTAATCACTCAAACACCTCACTTATATCAGCTCTCAACTGTCCAAAGCATTGAGAATCATTGGTACAACCTATTTCTCAAACTGACCACAAGATTGCATTTTAACCTCAAAAGAAAGAAAACTACAAGTTTGCTCAAAAGAGGAGGGAGTTCTTGCTCTTGGCTGCTAATATAGTGAGACCTACAAGAGGTATGTCTTGATGAATCTTTCCATTAATATATATTTGCATGCTTGGTTCTGCTATACCATACCATGTATGTTTGTAGTTTGGCGTGTACATTGTTGGTTTTAAATACAATCATGTGATTGGGCTGTTTTTCAAAGTTTACTTCAGGCTTAAGCTTAATGTTCTCATGTTGTTTCCTTGTTGTGAATTCAACTTAAATACCTCCGAGCTGTTTAGTATTGTTGTAAAGTTCATGAACTGGTCATTAAGTTTCACTGCCTAGAAGCATATCTTGTAAATCAAAATGAACAATATTAGTTAAAATATAGAGATATCTTGTAAGTCCTGGAACTACATGAATCCCTCATTTCCTCATATCTAATCACTTTTTATTTTACTATGAAAAACGAAATACAATGATCAGAACTTCGAAAAAGTTAGCTATCATTTGCAGTATATTCACCCAGAAATTAGGATGCCTTGAACTTCTTCAACATTTGCAGTATATTCACCCAAGAGATCTCTTTCTCTTTCTCTTTCAGACACAAGGTCTTGGTAAGACCTAAATGTAAGATAAATGTACAATTTCGCTTATGCATGTGCATAATTGAACTCGGCTTTTTCACATGAATGTGCGAAACTGCACATGGAATTCAATTTGCACATGTATGTACGTTTCTGGGCAAAGTTCCATTTCAAATTTCACTGATGCATCTGCGTAATTAAAGATGCAGGAGGAGAACATGGATCAAAGTAGTTGTACTCTTTCCTTAAGTTCCACCCTTACTTAGTGTACAAGTTTAGGTTGGAAAATTAATTTAATTTCTCATATTGTTTTTTATTGTTGTTGCAAGTTGTCTAATTTTCATTTATATGTCTCTTAAGTAACAACGACAGTGCAACATAAAAAAAGAACCTAGGATAGTGAAATCATAGAGTACAAAAATGATGCCCAGGCGTTGGAAGAACTCCTTGAGGTTTGTGAGGAGAAGACGAGAAGGATACTTCCCTCCACATCAGATAGAATGGGAATTAGAGAGTATAGGAAGGAGAGGGGTTTTGCGGGGCCTTTAGCACTGCAATATGGTGAAGATTTGACTGCTCTAGGAATTACTGATGATGAGAAGGCTTGGTTACTCCAAAAATTTAATTCAGACTCTGTTGAATATTTATCTTTGGCAAATCAGCCTCTTCAAACAAGACTCAATTTTTTTCGGAAAATTCTTCAACATGTTGATATTACTATACATGATTAAAGAATTGTTTGCTTCTTCTGCTCTTATATTATAATTTCAATTGATAATTAACATTATAACATGAATCCCTTCTAACTTTAATCCCTTCTAGAACATGAATCCCTTCTAAAGAGAATCCCTTCTAGAACTTGAATCCCTTCAAGAAGTAGAATCCCTTCTAACATGAATCCCTTCTAGAATATGAATCCCTGCTAAGGAGAATCCCTTCTAGAACCAGAATCCCTTCTAACGTGAATTCCTTCTAGAACCAGAATCCCTTCTAATATGAATCCCTTCTAGAACATGAATACCTTCTAAAGAGAATCCCTTCTAGAACATGAATCCCTTCTAGAACATGAATCCCTTTTAAGGAGAATCCCTTCTAACATGAATCCCTTCTAGAACCAGAATCCCTTCTAATATGAATCCCTTCTAAAACATGAATTCTTCTAAGGAGAATCCCTTCTAGAACATGAATCCCTTCTAAGGAGAATCCCTTCTAACATGAATCCCTTCTAAAGAGAATCCCTTCTAACATGAATCCCTTCTAGAATGAATCCCTTCTAGAACCAGAATCCCTTCTAGCATGAATCCCTTCTAGCTCCCTTCTAACATGAATCCCTTCTAGAACATGAATCCCATCTAAGGAGAATCCCTTCTAACATGAATCCCTTCTAGAATCAGAATCCCTTCTAACTTGAATCCATTCTAAAAAGAATCTCTTCTAGCATGAATCCCTTCTAAGGAGAATCCCTTCTAAAATGAATCCCTTATAACATGAATCCCTTCTATAATGAATCCCTTCTAGAACCATAATCCCTTCTAGAAGCAGAATCCCTTCTAACAAGAATCCCTTCTAGAACATCCAGAATCTCTTCTAACATGAATCCCTTCTAGAACCAGAATCCCTTCTAATATGAATCCCTTCTAACATGAATCCCTTCTAACATGAATCCCTTCTAGAACCAGAATCCCTTCTAATATGAATCCCTTCTAACATGAATCCCTTCTAACATGAATCCCTTCTAGAACCAGAATCCCTTCTAATATGAATCCCTTCTAACATGAATCCCTTCTAGAACATGAATTCCTTCTAAGGAGAATCCCTTCTAGAACATGAATCCCTTCTAGAAGTAGAATCCCTTCTAACATGAATCCCTTCTAGAACATGAATCCCTTCTAAGGAGAATCCCTTCTAGAACCAGAATCCCTTCTAGAACCAGAATCTCTTCTAACGTGAATCCCTTCTAGAACCACAATCCCTTCTATGTCATCAACATCATGTTTCACAAATATATCTCTATCAACATTAGTTGATTCTCATCTATTTCTTGAATTTTCGTCCACAACCTACAAGTTCCTTCCTTATAACCCCATATATTCACCAAAAACATGCGTACGAACACCCCCTCTGTAAATGATGTCATTCGGCTTGACCAATATAAATTCAGCCCAATGGTGAAAACTCACACTAAAACGTTGCATATCCTATGAAATGGATTCGAAACAACATTTAAAGTTAAATGTCGGCTTCAACCAACAGAATCTCAAACATCGTAAGAGAAGAGGAAAATTCGAAAAACTTACCCTAGACATGATAAGCTTCAATGTCTTCTTCGATAGTCCACAAACAAGCTTTGTCTTCATTTCAACCGTCCAGCTTCGTCTTCTCCTTCGTCTTCAATCGTCCAGCTTCGTCTTCGCGTTCATCTTCAGTCAACCTTAGTCTTCGTCTTCAACGCAAATTGCCAAATTTGGGATTTCTCTGAAAACCTAACATTTACAAGGGAGATTAAATAATGTAATTACCATTAAGTGACAAAAATAACAACATATATGTGGCGTTGTCCAATTTAATTTTCCTGGCATTAAAATAAATGCCACACTAGAAAAATAAGGGAATTGGGGCTAAAATAGTGCAACAAGGGCCTTACAGAGGGAATCTTGGTATTACGAGGGGGATAAAAAAAATCTTTTATAGGGGCGAAAGTGAATATCGCTTACATCCGATGGGCTGTTGTAAATTTAACCCAAATAAATATTTAAAAAAACAAGATTCCTGGTATTGAAATTCGAACACATGATCAAATACCTCTTTTAACCACAGTTGAAAATTTTAACTATAATAAAAAGTGACTTAAACTGCAAAAAAAAAGTCTAAATAAATAAAATTTACCACAATGAACACTATGACCAAGATAAAAGTGGGTAGTCATATAAAAAAAAAGTTTATTTGTGTCTGTGGTTTGTAGGATGCTAGTGATAAATGGTGGCAAATTTTACACTTTTTTATATTGCTTTGGTGAACATAGCATCTTTCATTTAGTTCTTTTTGATTTGTCTACTAAAATTGTGACATGTACAATGGAGGATATCTCGATACTAGATAAGATGCATTTAAGGAAGGCAATTTAACCCATCTCAAATGGATATTAAAAAATTATAAATAATGATAGGTTAAAAATTTGGAGAATGCATACAGATATAGACATAGATAATTACTCACTAAAATAAAAAATAAATAAAACACATATATATATATATATATATATATATATATATATATATATATATATATATATATATATATATATATATATATATATATATATATATATATATATATATATATATATATATATATATATATATATATATATATATATATATATATATATATATATATACATATACACACACACGAGAACTAGTACTTTAGGACGTATCAGCCTGATACTCGCACAATATATATGCATATTTTATCAACTTTATTAAATACATCACTATTAAATTTGTACGGATTTAATATAAGATTTTGTTTATTTCTTAACTCAAAAATAACATCTTTAATTTTTTCTAAATGTTAAAAACTCAAAATGACACGATAAATTATCATTGACTTTTAATTTTTTATTAGAAATAAGAGTAAACAATTATAAATATTGGTATTTAGGTATCTAAAAAATAGGTATGAATATTTCTGATAGTATTCATGCGATTATAGGGATGAGTATTATAATACCTTATTCAAACACTATACATTGTTGTCCCTAGATTCGTCTTAGAGGGTGACATTTATTTTCTTGATTATGTTTATGATTTTTATTCATGGGTTTTCGTTCAATTAATCAGTGAATTATCTAATACAAACGTCATAAATATGATATATAAATTGTAAAGGAGGAAAAGTATTAGGAACGATGATATTTGATAATTTAACTCATAACGCATTCACCATTTTTGTTAAAACTTAAAATTTAAACTCATCATCACATATACATAGTGATGATGTAGTTATACAAGATGTGAAATATCTATACTATATAGTGGCAAGATATATAATACACAACAACACAAATTGCTGTCTATCTATACCTCTCATTCTCAAAACACAACATTATTTATTCATAAAATTTATTTCTAAGAAAGTGCATCATGCATGATGACATGATAATAATCAATTACGAGTGCTGTCCTCAGTGTGCACAGCAACAGCTTCACCAGCATATGAGCAACACCTGCAACCCCCATAACGTCCACCACAACAGCCGTATCGGCATCTACCTCCACCATGGTAACCACCACCACCATTGTAACCACCACCAGGACCACCATGGTAACCACCGCCACCATTGTAACCACCACCAGGACCACCATGGTAACCACCGCCACCATTGTAACCACCACCAGGACCACCATGGTAACCACCACCACCATTATAACCTCCACCTCCATTGTAACCACCACCTGGACCGTAGTCTCTACCTCCATATTTGGCATCATTTACTTCATGGGACTTTTCAACAACCACTGCAAATGCAATACTATGTTAATTAATTTTTTGTAATCACCAAACATACACACATTGTGTTATGGTTTTATAATTAAATGCTAGTAACTAGCTTGTTAGAAAGCTCATGAAAATATTTATATATTAAACCCAAATTAAGAAAAATAATGTATAGCTAGTTTACCATCTTTGGTATTAGTGGAAGTGTCAGTTAAGTCCCTAGCTGAAACCTGTGAGGAGATAAGAAGAACCATGGCCACTAGGCCAAGGATGAGGATTGCATTTTTGGAATCCATTGTACTCAAATCAAGATCAATTGAAATGTGATATTTGGTAGTGAAGGATGAGAAAATAGTAAGAAAGTGTGCTCTATATATAGTGGATAGAAGTAAGAATCAACATGGAACCTTTAGATTGTAGTTGGGATGGTAGCTAGTATGTATTAATTCAATCTTATCTTTAAAAAGTGAAGATGTGTTTTTTTAATCTTTGATATTCATTTTGGATAATATGGATCGGGGGCTAAGAAATGTAGCAGTGCAGTTATTGTCTATGCTATGTCTACTTGCTGTTAGATGAAAGTGACAGTGAATATTGAAAGCATAGTACTTCTACCTTCACAAAAGTTATCTCGCGGAGCTACAGTCCAAATAATACACATGATGTGTACGCAACGGGTTTCACTGTCTTTTTCTTGCGAAAGGCACGGTGCCTTTGAGTCAAAATCCACCACTTGATCAATCAAACACTCCACTCTAAGCTATATCTATATCTTCTTTCTTATTAAAGTATTGGATCGAATTTTAGTCTCGACAAAAAAGTAGCGATGTATTATCTTATGTAATAGTTATGTATGTCATGTATAAGTATTATTTTCATACATAACATACATATGCTAGTAGTCCATAAATAGGTTGCACTCTAACTTGTTATGAGAGAGGTTGATTATTATTTTTCACTTGTAATCATTTAACGCTCTTTGAGAAAGTGAATGCAATAACTGTCATAACCAACTTTGTTTTATCTCTCTCTTCTCTTTCTTCTCGAATTGAACGGTTTCTTGTTAATGTGTTGAAGAAACTCTCTTTCTCACAATTTTTACTTTGTTCTTGACATAGATTTCACAACAAACTGGTGGCGTGAGCGTGATTCAAGATGTCATCAACGAAGTATGAGTTGAAAAATTCACTGAAGTAAATGATTTTGGATTATGGCGCTTGAAGATGTGAGCCCTTGTTGTTCAACAAAATCTGCTAGAAGCGCGGAAAGGATATGAAAACATGGATGTTACCTTTACGGAGAGGGAGAAAACAATGATGGTTAAAAAAGCCCACAGTGCCATCATATTGAGTCTTCGTGATAAGGTTCTCTAGCAGATCTTGAAAGAGAAAACTGCAACAGGTGTGTGATTCAAACTTGAAGGTTTGTACATGACCAAGTCTTTGGTCAATTGTCTGTACCTGAAACATATTTTTTATTCATTCAAGATGAGTGAAGACAAAGTGTTGACTGAACAATTGGATATATGTTCAACAAGTCGATTCTTGATCCGGGGAATATTTATGTTAGCATCAATGAAATTCAAGCCTTGCTACTGATGTGTTTTACCTAGATCTCATGCTCATTTCAAAGAAACTCTCTTGTATGGAAAAAAGTCATTTACCTTTGAAAAAATTCAATTGCTCTTGTACTTAATGGACTTGAATGAAATAAAGGAGCACAAGCCATCATCTTTTGGTGAATGATTGTCTGTAAAAGGTAAATTCTCGGAGAAGGATGGTAAGTTTTAGAAGAAGATGGGTAAAGATCAACACAAGTGTTATGGTGGTAATTCTCTTATTATTAGGTGTTACCACTGTAATAAAGAAGGTCATACAAGAAAAGTGTGTCTAAATAGGATGAAAACTTCTGATGATATCAAGGATAATAGAAAATATTACATATTAACCTAAAAAGCAATAAAAGTATTTATATAGTACATTCAGGATCTGTCATGTTCGCACTGTGAACAGATCCTTCGCCTAGCGAACATCAAATTAGGCACCTGAGGTGCCTCTGAACAGTTAAACCGCCTTTGAGACTTTTCCACATGTTCACTGTGCGAGCAATCCTTCGCACTGCGAAGGCTTCGCTACATACTTCGCACAATGAATTCTTGTCCAAAAAGTTACTGCCTCAAGTCTGGGAGTGCTCGCTAGAGCTTCGCTACCACTTCGCCTATCGAGTTCTTCGTTGCCTCCTTCGCCTAGTGAGTTTTATGTTGTTTTTCTGCTGTCTTGGTTTTCTTGCCCAATTTCTTGTGTCTTACTATTCACTTGTTTTGTGTCTGATTCCTGCATATTAACCCACAAATCAAAGCAACCAAGGCATTTTCCAACAATGAAGCATATCATCTAAAACATGAGTGATTCTAATCACTTTTACCTACAAAAAGAATGAAAGGTGCCAACATTTGATAGATCAAATAAGCAAAGCTCGGCATCTAACAACTTAGCATTTGCGTGAGTATCAATACTTAATGCTCTGTGTTGTGTTTTTGTTGCGTAAGACATCACCAATGAAACAACACGGTTGTTCTCTCGACATTGCGTTAGAGATGACCTCTGTCGTGGGTGATACGTGAGGATATTAGACAAATGATTGAGTTGTGTTTAACATGATTAGAAGAATGCATGTGTTATCAATTTATGAGATCCAATCCCAACAAGACTCCGTCTATATTTTAGTCTTTACTTTATATTTTCCGTCTTTATATTTTCTGCCTTTTATTCATGGTTCATTGAGCCTTTTAAACCAAACCTTTTGAACAAAAAGTTTAGAAATGTAGAGACCGTTGAATGGCGTTTTTTCATCACACCGATCCCTGTGGAGACGACAACACTAGGTACATAATATTTTGGCTTGCTGCTTTACCACTTCAACAAAATGGGTAAAGCAGCAAGCAAAAATATTAAGTGCCCAGTTTTACCATCTCCACAGGGATAGGTGCGATGAAAGAACGCCGTTCAACGGTATCCACATTTCTAAGCTTGTTGATCAAAAGGTTTGGTTTAAAAGGTTCAAGGAACCATGAATAAAAGACAGAAAATATAAAGACGGAAAATATAAAGTAAAGACTGAAATATAAAGGGAGCCTTGCTGGGATTGGATCTCATCAATTGATAACACATGCATTCTTCTAATCATTTTAAACACAACTCAATCATTCGTCTAATATCCTCACGTATCACCCACAACAGAGGTCATCTCTAACACAACATCGAGAGAACAACCATTTTGTCTCATTGGTGATGTCCCACGCAACAAAAACACAACACAGAGCATTAAGAGCTGATACTCACGCAAATGTTAAGCCTAAATCTATGTTTAGAGTTTAGGACCTAACAGGTAATCATCCTAGATCCAGATCTGAAGAGTACATGTCTATAGCAGTTCAAATCAAAGATAAACAGGTAAACAAAGATGACACTCATATCAGATAAACGATTGTTTCAAATAAAACACAATACTCATAATACATACATACGCTTAACCCTTTTTACATGTATTCATCTAATCTGCCAAATGTATGTGAACATCGTTCTTCATCAATATTATCACGCACCCGCACCATATTGTATTAATCATACTCATGCTACCCATGCTACTTAATCAACACAATACAATAGAGGATACAATGAATATCAACTTCCAAAACCATGTCAAAAGTTTGTTCATTGATAGATGAAAATCTTAGATCAAAGATGTGAAAAGGTCTTGTGAAGACCCACAAACAAGAAATCAAAGATAACCAATCAATAGAGAATCAAAACTAGTTCAAAAACATATATTAGATGAAATACATAAGGTATCAAAAGATTACATCCAAATCCCAACAAGAGATTAAAGATCTTACCTCCTCCCTCTTAGGGTTTTGTATTTCTCTCTCTAAAATAAACTTGAAATGAAGAGAGATAAGTTCTGATGTAGAAAATATTACATACTAACCTAAAAAGCAATATAAGTACTTATATAGTACATTCAGGATCTGTCATGTTCGCACTGCGAACAGATCCTTTTCCTAGCAAACATCAAATTAGGCACATGAGGTGCCTCTGAATAGTTAAACCGCCTTTGAGACTTTTCCACATGTTCGTTGTGCGAGCAATCCTTCGCACTGCGAAGGCTTCGCTACACACTTCGCACAGCAAATTCTTGTCCAAAAAGTTACTGCCTCAAGTCTGGGAGTGTTCACTAGAGCTTTGCTACCACTTCGCCTAGCGAGTTCTTCGCTCCCTCCTTCGCCTAGCGAGTTTTATGATGTTTTTCTGTTGTCTTGGTTTCCTTGCCCAATTTCTTGTGTCTTACTATTCACTTGTTTTGTGTCTGATTCCTACACATTAACACACAAATCAAAGCAACCAAGGCTTTTTCCAACAATGAAGCATATCATCTAAAACATGAGTGATTCTAATCACTTTTACCTACAAAAAGAATGAAAGATTCCAATATTTAATAGATCAAATAAGAAAAATTTGGTATCTAACATTTCTACACTTCTTTAAGCTTGCATTTCATTATTTTCAATCTAACTACATTCCTTATCATTGTTTATTTTTTATCTAAGATGTAAACTTGTGCCTTCACGTCTTGTTTGGGAGGTGAGGGTTTCATAAGAATCACTTATGTTTCTTGCCGATTGATTTGTTAGCAATGTCTTGATAAATGGACGACATTTAAACCTTGTGCCGATTGATTAGTGTATAAACAAAATTAGGCTACTTTTCCCCTAGAATTTGTATGACCATCGAGGTAATGTGTTATTTCTTTTTTAAATATAAAATTATATTTAAATAATGACATTTCCACTAGGTGGATAAATCAACCGAGGTAATATATGACTTATAATGCAAAAAAAAATGGTGAACAAAAAAATTGAAAAGGAAGCAGTAACACATATTGTTTCCTTTTTTAATTTTTTACCATTCCATAGCGCCTCTCTGATCGCCCATTTCCTTTTTCAGTTTTCCATTTACTAGATGTGTCACCATTTCCATTAAACATGATGCCTACCCTTAGGAATGGTCGCCCGATATGGGGAAGTAGGGAAAGGACATGTCTCTATTTCGCAACGATAAAGAAGGGGTCATTTTACCACGTTCGCAGAAATATGAACGGATTAACAATCAACTCATGCATCCTTTAAATAGTGTTGATATTACCAAAAGGCCTAGGATCCATGCCCTATACTACTATCAATACCTCAATAATAAAGTTAAAAATGATAATTTGACTCTCATAGAGAAAAAAAACATAC